AACAGTCATAATCAAATTTCAAATGAATCATTTTCCAGCTTATTCTTCCAAAATTGATCATTTTAATGAAACCTTGAATTTTATCATTTGAAGTAAATATACTGTGAATTTTTTCATAGAAGAGACAAGTTGAAATCAGTTAATTTCCCAAAATTATCAGATGATACATAGCACAGCCTTGATAGCCATACGTCATTAAAAAAAAAAGAGCAGCAAGATCAGATTTTTGCTCAGTTAAAAATAAAACAATTTTGTCATTTAATAACAATAATCTCTTTAAACTTCACCCTCTTGACATTCATTTTACTTCTACTTGTAGTAAATTTTTATATACAGGGCCCATGTCTTTACAAAGCATTTGAAAATAAATGGCTGCTAAGGCCTGGCTTTCAAAAAAGTTCGTAATTTTAACAGCATCCTAAGCAAAATATTTAATTCATTGCTAATTTTTTTCCTGCAAGGGTCTTTTGATGAATCAGCTAATTTGTAAAGTTACATGATCATTATTATCATTGATTTTGCACCATCTGTGGAAACTCTAGAGTAGTTTTCTATTTTAAACCATCAGTTTTCAAAAAGTCATCAGCTTTATTATATGTGTCTTCAACTCTTGTATGGTGTTCCAAAGAATGACAAAATTAAAATTTTATTTTATAAATGTTTCCGCTATATACTAATAATGTGTTTGAACTATCATTTGTTATTGCAAAGTTTGGGTTTTCTTAAAAGCTAGCAATAAGTTGCTCAAATCCCTAATTGCTAATTTCGGAAGCTCTATTGCTGACAGTGTCATCAGACAAGGGAATTTCCTGAATATGATCACCATTTTAGTAGCAGCAGGTAATCATGTCCACTGTGGAATGATTTCTTTTATTTTTTACAATCAGATATGAAACTTTGTATGACATAATATTTTTTGCAAACAATCATAAATTTCTCAAAATATTATTTGCTTTGTTTGAAAATTTGAAGAGTTGTCCAAAATAATACTCTTTGGGTTTATTACATCTGACAGATGCTTAGATTCAAGATCCCTGTATAATTTTGATAGTTACATACTCTCCACAGCTAAAATGTTCTTGCAAATTAAATGAAGTTGTTCATTACCATCACAGTTGTTGAAAGTGAAGCTAAATTATAGAAATCTTTAAATATTTTCTTTTCTTCATCTTACATGTTGCTTTCTGACTACTAGATCCTCTTTGAAGACATTTAAGAGCATTTATATTCTGATCATTAGCTTTGTTACTCAAGTTTGCACATTCATCCATTGGTTAATAAAATATCTCTTATAATAATTATTCAAATAAGTGCCAACCTTACCTGAGTAAAACAATAAAATACTGCATCTTTCTTTCAAGTTACACACTTTGTGCAATGAACTATGCTGGAAAAGTGTTATCACTTTTACACTAGTTGCCAAGAGCACTGATCTTATTCTCGGCATGTCTGCTTGACACAGAATATTACACACTGCATCTGTAGCCTATTTAGATATTTGAAATTAAGTTATATACTGATATTGCAATGCAACACTGCAATTTTTATCCACTTATTGACCTTTTTATATATGTAAATTATTTCATAGCTCAATTTGGCCACTATTTGCAATATACAGAAAATGCAATACTTTAAATTAAAGTTGAAGAAGCGACTGCAACTAACGTTTTTCTAAATTCATGCACCTGAACAAAATTTTTGCCATCTTAATATTTCGCTTTGCAACCCCCATTTGACAGTACAGCCCACAACTTAAGAAACAATTTCTTAATAATTAGAAGCTTATGAAAACAAATAATAAAATAAGTAATTATACAAATTTAGCATTTAAATACAGATCTTTATGTGCAGACCTGAAAAGACATGCCATTCAGAAGGCTAACTTTCTGAAATTTATTTGAAAGAGGACATTTTTTAAAAGCTTCTGAATATTTTTGTAGATTATATTTTTAAAAAGTGCAATTTACTGCTTTGAGTAATAGTTTACATGAATATTCGATGCACAAATCAAGTACTAAATGCTGCATTTACAATTTTTTTATTTTATTTTATTCAATTATATTACATATCTGTAGAATATACTTTGACCCTATGGCAGTTGTGAGATTAAGCAATATTTTCTTCCCAAATACATCTGATATCTGTCAGTTGTAAATATGTAATGGAAGCTGTGCTCATTTGTGCCCACTGCAATGCATAATTGGAATGTGAGCTGAGCCCATTTATGACCATCAAAACATTAAGACATTATCCTGAATACTTCATATTTTAAAATGGTTGCATTAATTTTAACATCGTAAACAAAACTAGACAGCCACATTTGCTGCTAAATTTAATTTCACAAATTTGTTATATCTTTTTCACCTGTTTTTATTATTTTATTATTCCATGAATTTCCGAATTATCCCAAGTTCTAGTTGGTCACAAAATATATTATTCTGTGTGCATTCAGTACCTGTCTCTTTTTGTGCATAATGGCTCTGAGGTTCAGTCTGCAGGCATGCAAAGGAGGTCTGACAGACTGAAAACCAGTCCATAATTTTTGTGGCCTGCTATATCAACCTTTGCAGATTTATTACAGCTAAAATGTATTTTATTTATGTAAGATCATACATCTAGAGTTTTTATTGTTTAGTTGAAATGTTCTTTTCCTATAAGTTTATTACTTTCTTTGAAGTTTTCCTGTAACTTTATTACTTTCTTTGAAGTTTTCCTATAACTTTATTACTTTCTTTGAAGTTTCCTTATAAGTTTATTACTTTCTTTTCTTTGTTTATTACTTTCTGGTGAAGATTTCAGCACCCATTTACCACTTTCATTCAAATCATTAATGTTTTGTGCATTTATTACATTCAAAATATATTTTATTTATGTAAGATTCACTTCTGAAATTAAGTTACTTTTTCAAGTGAAATACTTTTCCTATAATCTCACTTTCTCTCCCTGCTCACTTTCAGCACTCATTTATTGCTGATTTTAATTCAAATTATTCAATCTTTGGTTCACTAACTATAGCACAAAATTTATTTAATCCATATAAATACTGCACATTAAAATTATTTTTATTAAAATCCTTTTTTTAAAACTGAAAGATATTCATTTTCTGTCACTCAATGTCTTTCTTTCCCTGTTTACTTTTTCAATCAATGTAGAAATATAAGTATCTCTTTCAACTGAGATTTTGTTTACACTAATTTTGTTATTAGTTTATAATATTTTTGTTATTGTCATTAGTTTATTCTAGTTTTGGTTCAGCTTGGAGAAAAATTCCATTCATTTTGTTTTATATTTTAAATTTTTTAAAGATTTTTAATCATAAAGTTTCTAGCTTAATTATGCCTTAAGTAATTACAGTCAAAAGTCTTTAATCTGGATGTCCATAATCTGGAATGATCTATAATACGGACCTCAGAGCTACAAACTTTCTGCGCTACGCCTTAAGTAATTACAGTCAAAAGTCTTTAATCTGGATGTCCATAATCTGGAATGATCTATAATACGGACCTCAGAGCTACAAACTTTCTGCGCATGCATGAACGCATGATGCAATTACACATGCACATAACCTTTATGCATGCGCATAATACGTTTACGCATGCACGTTTAATGTATAATGGACGGTATAAGCTAAGCTAAAATTATCTATTTCAGTTAATGTTGCAGATTGTGTTGTTCCTTAATCTTCTAATTGGATCTGGCTTATTATTTTTTGCAGACTGTTAGAGCAATTTTATAAAAGTAAGCATGAATTTTCAATTATGTTAAAAAGAATTTCCGATTCTGGAGCTGCCAAAGGATCTACAAAGCGAAAGCACGTTTCGATGTCCATCAAACAAAAAGTGGAATTGCTGCAAAAAATGGATAAAGGCATATCCTTTGTTTCTCTAACCATTCTGAAATCTGTTTATCAATTTCACGCTGCTCTGCGGGGAAGAAGGACGTTGGGGCGCACAATGAACTGGAAGTTGATCTGTCAACACTATCCTTATCTTCAGGGCAGTTGTTTTTATTTTATACAGCTTATAATTCCTTACTAAATGTAGTATTTCATCTCGATATACTCCGTCTTTGATATGATTTAAATCAAATTCCTCGTCATCATAAATATCACGAGTACACATCAAATAGTTTTCTGGTTGCAATTTTCTAATTTTGACTCTGCGTAATGTATGCTTTACATATGCGCACGTTGAAAGAAATGTTTAATAAAGTAAACAAATAAATATTAAGCCTTTTTTTTTTGTAAATTTTGATACCCTTTAGATTATAATTGCTTTTTATTTCATAAATTACGGTTTCATATTTTTAATTTTATAATTTCTGCATGCCATCTTACCAGATTTAAACTGATGATCTATAATCCGGAAAAACCAATAATCCGGAATCGCCGAAGTCCCGACGAGTCTGGATTAAAGACTTTTGACTGTATATTCATGTGTTATGAAAACAGAAGACATATATTTCCATCTCCTTGATTCAAAATATTCCACAGATCATCATAAGATCATCATTGTTTTTTATCCCTTCATTATTTCTTTCTGCATCTTTCAAAAGTATCATCTGATATTCCAATTTTAACAAATTTCTGAATTTTTTTTTACAGAGGATGCTTCCCATAAGCTTCGGTCTTAGTCCCTGCAGTTGTTGGACTCGTTAAATTTAGTAGGTTGCTATTTAATTGCAAGTCATGAACTGTACCCAATATCCTTCAAGGATTTCTATTCTGGATCTGAACAACAATAGCAGCCACTACTCTTGTTCAGATCTTTCAAACCTCCGAAAATTTCTGCACAATATAGACAGCTGATAAAAAAATTAAATTCTTTCTGATGCTGAAATTGCATCCCACATATTGGAAAATAAAAATTTCAGTGATTCAGATGGTGAAAGCAGAGGTGAAGATCTTCCTGACAGTCAATAACAATTACAAAGGCCTTTTCTAGTCTTGATAAATTTAAGGGATTCTAAGAATTTAACTGTAGTTTTAAAACACAAAATACTGAAAGCTCAAAGCATTTAATTTTAACTCATAATAAAAAAAAAGCAATATTAAAACTTCTTTATCTTCTAAATAATTAAAAATTTTGGATTTTACATAACATAAGGTTCACTTTCATGACAGAATCCATAACAACTTACATACTGGGTGTACACAAAAGTTTTCGTATTTTTTAATGAAAGAATTCTCTTATATTTGCAACAGAATGCATTAACTGGCTCTCAGTCTACAATATTTTCCCCATTACTGTTTATATCAGATAATTTGGGACGAAGTAACTTCCTTTCTCCCTCCTTCACTGTGGAAAGCTTTCATAATCAGCAAAAGTATTTTCCACATTGTCATACTGTTGTTCCTGGAGAAAACTGTATAATGACCAAAAGAGGTAGTATCAGTTGGATAAATATCTTTTGATATGATTATGCCTTATTGCTTCCTACATCATATTCACACAAAAGACTATCTGATATGCTTCTTTTGGATCTTCAAATATTTTGTCACAGACTTTTCATTTAAAAACAATATTTAGCGCAAAATATAAAACAATCCCATACTGCCCAGCCACTAACTAATGAGCACAGAAAAAAATTTCTAAGGTCCGATATATAACCAGAATATAAACACAAAAACTTTTCCTAACATCCAACAGAAACTTACCAGATATTTGAAGAAACACATAATACAATATATGACCACACAAACTTCTAAAAATTTACACTGAATTCTTAGATCTTCTGGTCAAATATTGCCCAAGAATTTTAGAATATTACATTTTGAAATACTGATGACATGAAACATAATCTTAAAACAGATAGTTAAGTTTTTTTACAATTTCTGGTTTCTCGTATTAAAATATTTCTTTTTTCGAAACAGATCTGAATTTAATTTTAAAACATTATACATCAATCTAAGCTTAAAGCTAAGGGAGCTAAGTTTCATTATGAGAAAATAATATATGCATCTTATTAAAATAACAGGAAAAATAATTATTTAATAACATTAATTTTCAAAACAAGTCAAGAACTTAAGATCAACTGATGACTTTGATAATCATGCCTAATATGTAAGAATCCATTTAAATTTCTTTAACAAGAAGGAAAAAAATTATTATTACATTAAATGAGCATATATTACAGAACAGATGAAATATTAAAAAACTACAGTTTACACAACAAATTTTATCCTCAATAAATATTTTAGACAATTAAAGTTGATTCCCTGATGTAAGAAGAAAAAAGTGATGATAAACATTTTGTTTGACATTTAAAAAAAAATTCTAACATGAAAGTGCAAAGCAACAAAAACAGCAATATTCAACTGAAGAAAAATCTCTTGCCAGCAAAAGCAAATAAAAAAATATATAATTTTAAATAAACAAACACAAATTAATATAATTGATATTTAAATAATATCAAAATATAAATTCATTATTTTTCGAATACATTTGCCAATGTAAGCTCTTCACAATGTATATTTTTGTACAGTAAGCATCTATAAAATTTATATACAAAATAAATTGTGAAATTTCACATTTTTATACATGATACACTAACACCGACAGGTATTGAATTCAACAATGCCTCAATTCAATACATATCAGTAAACATTTACAAGTAAAAGGCAGCTAGTTTTTTTTCCAAATAGAATAGGAAGCATTTTAAACAGAAAATTACTTTATTCATATATTATACTGATACATAAGTTTATAAAAGTTATATTTAAAAAAAATGTTATAAGTATATCAAAATTTTGCTGCCTTATTAATACAGTACAATGTCCGAAATCCCGACATCCAATATCTGGAATGCTTTAAAATACAGACTCCAAGATTACTAGCAACCTCTTTTCCATGCAAGTGAAAGCTTGGGCATTCAACATTTTTTATTATAAAACTTGTGGAAAGTACCTATTCATAATTTCAATTCAGCACTGATGCCAACCTGGCAAAACATTATTTATTATTTTTTCATTCATCACTGCTTAATTATCACACACTGTGGCTTGAGAAATGACTCATGCAGTGAGGTATAAAATGAAGACAATATAACAGCAGATTTTCATTGTGATAACAATGCTCAATCAATCAACTAATGGACGATGAAATCTGTAGCATGGTTCTAAATCCAGAAAATTTCGCTAGCAATATTGAAAAAAGTGACAGAGAAGTTGTTGATAACAAAAATGTTTTGACTGATAATTTAGTGGGAATTCTTGATGTGGCAATTAGAGGACTTGAACAATGGAACTTTGCAACTGAACGAGAAATTACATCTATCTATAGAATTAAACAGAAAGTATAAGCATAAAAATTGAAGCTAATTAAACTACTTACATTGAAAGAAAAGTTTAATAGGACAAACAAACAAATACTGAGGGGGTTTTGTTAAGTTTGATTCACTTCAGGTCATGTTTCATTATTTCATAAACCGCTATTTCATATTTTTAATTTTTAAATTTCCACATCACCTTACTAGATTTTAACTGACAATATAATACCTGTAAAAATCCCAAATCCAGGATTGCTGAAGTCGTGATAAGTCAGGATCTTGGACTGTGTATTGTAGGTATTTTTATATAGAAATTTATTTAACTCACAGGGTCAGAGACACCATACCTATTCTGCCTCAGTTTTATATTAAACTGGTAGCATTAACATAACATAAATAGGATACTAGATAGTTTTAATGAATACAGAAATGTCCAAACAGCTAAATTAAAACAAAATATTTAATATATGTTCATAAAAATAGATTTGGTAATAGAATGCAATATGTATCTTATAAAAATGCATCTTTGAATAAGATTTACTCTATAAAACAGTTTGTATATGTTAAATACAGTAATTCACACAAATTTCTTAAAAACTTTTCTATATAAAATATAATTTAATATATTAAGAGCTTTAAATTTTTCTTCTCATTTACCTTTAAGGCACAGAAAAGTTCAACTAGAGAAGTCTATCAAGAAGATGGCTCACAATTCATGTCTTTAGACTTCATTTCTGTCCCATCAAATGAGACATCAACCCTTTGTAGAGTTTCCATTACCTGAAGCATTTCTTCATCTCCTACACATATAAAATGAAAATGAATTATAAAAAGATAACTATATTATATTTACATGAACAAAAATATACAAATCATATTCCAGAATGCACAGCTTCATAATTCTCTTGAGCATGCAGTCAAAACATTTATTTTGATTAGTAGTTTGTTGAGGAAAAACATTTAATCACAAGAAGTATTGTAACCATTTTCTAATTTAACATTTTCTAATTTAATATTATTATTTAAATAATTGATAAAAAATCTTGTACATGATAAAATAAAGAAGTTATTTTATGCAGCTCTTCAGACGGGGAGAAAACTGATTTATATAATGCAGAATATTAAACAAAAACATCTTCATTTTGAAGTTTCAATCATTTCAAGTGAAACTATTGGTATAAAAATTTCCAACTCACATCTATAAAAATTTTAGACATAGCTCGATAATAAATTGAATTTCACACCATTATAAGTGTTGTTTTACCTTTAAAAGAAATTAAAACCATGCCAAGAGCATTACATTGTACATTAATAAAGCATCATCATAAATCTTTTAGATATATTGTTATAGAGAAAGTAATAAACATTTTATGTTATTCAGAGTTTGAAAAGATATGCCCTCAGTCAAAGTTTGAAAGTACCTATCATTAGTATGATTATTAATCTTTTACAAAATAACTGATTGTTGATTAAAATAAGATTTTTCATGTTTCTTTTCAAAATGGAACACAATAAGGTACAAAACACTACTTACTGTGTACATTTGAATGCAGTAGTACTGCTACACAAACTAGAAGAAACACCTAAGATGTTAATAGTGACATCATTTACAACCATAATGAACATTACTGGATTGAAGATTTCAGTTCAACTAATTATGACCTCAGAGATCATCTGATATCTATCAGACCAAAAGAGGCAAAGAATGACCATATGGCAGCTAAGAAAGAAACTGATCCCAGAATATCAAGTTTTGAAATGGCCATCACACTAGGGAGTGCAGCACACTGCTATAACAAACCACATGCATGTACTCAGCGCAAAAAACGGGGGTATTCTATATCTCCTGTTCTACTGGGCCTATTGACAAATTTCAAATTGAGTTTTTCATGTCTCAAAAGTGTGACTTAGGATATATATTAGATTTATATCAAGCATTGTTCAAACATAGGTATTTTGACACAAAATCGGACTTTTTTTTAAATAAGCAACATTAACTGAAATAGATAATTAGATAATTTTAGCTTAGCTTATGCCGCCCGTTATACATTAACCCTTTGACGCGCGGTGGTCATGCCCTGAAACCATCATTTTCCGAATTTTTCCCCTCCTCTTTTTTCCGAAATTTTTGAGTGAAAATGAATTGATTACTGATCTTTTACATCTAAATAACACAAAATGACCTTAGAATCATATATGTTTTAGGTATTAATACTTCAGTTCGGATGCCTTTTAAAATTTGTTTTCGATGAGACAAAATCACTTCCTTTTATTAATATAAACAACTTTAAATTTCAAAAGTTAGTCATCGCACATCATGATTTCTATCATAAACAATAAAAAATTGCAGTAATTAAACTGCATATATAAAAAAAAAACCTCTATATGTATGGCATTTGCTATGTGGTTTCAGGGCGCGACCACTGCGCAACTAGAGCATTGTGTCACAATGCTTACAATCCTCTAGAGGCTCGGTGGTCGCGCATTGAAACCACTGGCGTTTGCTTCTCAATGGCGTTCGCTTGCTTTTCAAATAGGAATGTTTATTTTTTGCCCGGATATAGATAAAAAGGGCTTTGAAACCACAGAGTTATTTTATTACTAAACAATACATGCACCTGCCCAGTATAAAGGTCTTTATTTTCCAAATACTTTTCTCTGACATCAACACACTTGCTCCCCAAGCTAGTATTGTGATTTTATAAATTATTTCCTGTGGTTTAAATTTAATGTACTAAATATACTTTGCTATAATTAAAAATAGAAATTGCATAAAAGTTTTATTTAAATGAAAAACATTTTCTGAATATTTTGGGACAAAATACGAACAAAATAAGTATGAATGGGAAACGAACGATCCGTACAAAGCCAAAAAGACCAAGCCCCCCACCCATTAACATAAAAAACCACAAATTTCATGTGCCAGATGAAAAGAAACTAAATAACGCTGGACATTTATCAGTGAAATTTAAATCCAGGCAGTGTACATTTTGTAGCACAATGAAGAAACCTCATAGAACAAGATGTATGTGTGAAACGTGCAGTGTGGGTCTATGCATGTACCAAAGAGACAAACATGCTTTGAACAGTGTCACAAAAAAAATTTGTTCTTTGAAATTAAATAAAAAACCACTGAGTTCTTTTTTATCCTTATTTTATTGAGTTTTTAATCCATTTATCCAAATGTAGTTATTATGTAGGTACTTATATTTTCACTGCTATAAAAAAATTACATAAATGCTTATTTTTAAATTTTTTCTGATGATTTACTTTGTAAAATAATGCAAAAAAATTATATATAATGCAATTCTTACATACATTTTTTTAAAATCCGTAAATTTCGTCATTTATTAGAAATGCGCGCGGAAAATGGCAAGTTTTTTCTCCCTACTACATCAGTAAGTTTCAAAGTCCTAGATGCGCGGTGGTTTCACAGCACGACCACCACCCACAGAACAATAGGCAAGAGTAGATTTTTTTTAATTCATATATTATTTGTCTCTAGGATCATAATATTCAATTTCTAGAGTTTTTAGTTAAAAAATTATAAAAATAATATTGCACGCGTTAAAGGGTTAAACACGCAAGCGTAAACTTATTATACACATGCGTAAATGCATATGTGCATGCATAAAGGTATTATGCGCATGCGTTTACGCATGCGCAGGAAGTTTGTAGCTTTGATGTTCGGATTATAGATCATTCCGGATCAAAGACTTTTGACTGTACTAGCAGCAGCACCATGCATACTTATACGCATTTTTTTTCTGACTAGCAAAAATAAAAAAAAAGAAAATAAGACTTTATAGGAAGCCTATGGAATATTCTCCTAATCTGGAATATAATAATCATTTCCAGTATGCTCAAGGAGCTATGAAGTGGAAATCACATTTCCTAAAAGTAGCCTAGCATGAATTATATATGCCTAATTTCTTAGACCTTTTTATCTGACCCATGTAACTACTCACTGTTTATCCATGTATTCCAGTTACTTGTCCTAATACTTTCTCAACTAGGCCCATGGATTTAACATGTTAGAGAAGATGATATAAATTAGATCATAGCTTTACAGTATATGATCTCTATAAGAGCATCAAAACATGGATATAATCTTATAAGAGCATCAAAACACACACATAATCTTGACTGACAGTTGGAATACAAGTTCTATTAGACTTGCCCCCAAAAAAATGTAGGAACATCAAAACCTGCTGAATTAGGCCTGTATCTATGAGTAATGAAATAATTAGGATATCTGTTGCCCCTGAATGCATGTTTGATATGCAGTTAAGAAACGAAGAATGGAGCAAAACTTTTTCAATGGCTAGGCACTTGCTTGAAAGCACTCATTGGAAATGACTGAATCCATCAGTCTTTAAACCATCTCACAACAAAGAACACTACCTACGTTGTAGGATTCAAAAGTTCCTGGACCGAGTCTATAACGTAAAAAGTTTTTGCAGCAGTGCGACTACGAGGACGTTTTTGTGTTACTACATTCTCATCCTTAAAAGTTGTTTATCCCAAATCATGTGGTCGAATGCTCACGGCTACAGTGCCTTTTTGTAAGCAGGTGCATTTAGTAAATGGCGATATATGGTATCAGTTGAGCAGAGAATCAATATCAAGTTTTGTGTTCACTCGAGAAAGAGTGTTACAGAGACTTTCGAAATGTTGAAGCATGTGTACAGAAATGAAATGTTGTCAAGAATGCAAGTTTTTGAGTGGCATCGTCGTTTCAGAAAAGGCAGGGAAAGTGCCGAAGACGAAGAATGGTGTGGCCGGCCCCTTGACTTCACGCACGGATGAAAACACCAAAAAGGTGTCTGCGGCAGTGCGCACAAACAGGCAGCAAACAATTTGCTAAATAGCAGAATACATTAGGATATCATGGCAGGCCACAGGTCAGCAGTTACTTACCAAGGATCTTAATATGCATAGCGTATGTCAACACATTGTTCCCTGCATGTTAAAACATAGACCAAAAGGGAATTCGAATGGAAATGGGAGACTTTGTCTCGGCTGTTGGCAAAGATCCTTCCCTACTTGGCAGAATTGTTACTGGAGACAAGAAATGGTGTTTTTTTGGTGGGGTAGGACCCGCAAACCAAGAGACCTCTGCCAACATGGAAATCACCACAATCTCCACAGAAGCGCAGAAATTCTGCCAAGATCGCTCTAAAAGAAAGGTCATGCTAGAGGTATTCTTCGATATCTAGGGCATTGTGCATCTGGAATTCATGCCTGAAGGACGCACTGTGAACAAAGAACTCTACATCGAAATCCTGCGTTATTTGAGTGAGCTGATCTGGAAGAAGAGACCAAAAATGTGGGCTGAGCAAGTTATGGGTGCTGTTGCATTACAACCCTCTTGCTCACTGATCCCACTCGTTAATGATTTTCTTGCGAAAATGAAAACAAGTTTTGAATCATCCTTCTTATTCACCTGATCTCGCACCCTGTGATTTCTTCCTAATTTCTGAACTGGCAAGACACTTGCAGAGTCGTCGATTTCAATCTTCAGATGAAGTTAATATGCATCACAAGCTGAATTAAAGGACATGGCCAAAAATGGATTCCAGATACGTTTCGATGAACTTTACAGGTGCTGGCAAAAGTATAATGTTGCACAAGGGTCTTATTTTGAAGGAGGATGTGTTTCTGCAATTTAATTCATAATATTTTTTATGTTATAGACTCAGTCTGGGAACTTTTGAATCCTACCTCGTATACTGTATTACAAGGAGTAAAATGATATTATACACACATGGAGCAGTTTTATCAGACATAAACCTGCAGC